ATGATTAAAGAACCGTGAAGCAAAGAATTAAGGTTTGTTTTATACACACATAGTCTCGAAGACACACTTAATAATTGACTCATTGCCTTTCTAAATAGTATATATTTTAAAACCGGAAAAAAGTCATTTGAAAATCTAGACATTGATACATACTTACATAGTATTGCCAAATGGCACCCCTCATTGAAGGATGGCATAAGTGGAGTTACGACAGATGTTTATTGCTCCATTAGATACAGAAAAATATAACCCACATCCTCTCCAATTATTGTAACTAGGTATATCTACAATATTAGTCGCTAGAGTTACAAGAATTGGAGAGGATGTGGGTTATACTTTTATGTATCTAATGGTGCAATACATGTGTTTGACGTAACTCCACTTATTCCATTCTTCCATGAGGGGTGCGAAATGGTGGTTTGATTGCTTACATTTTTCGTAAATGTTGACCTTCTAGCGTAATATGTATGGGACTTTTGTTTTCAAGGCTATTTTCTTAACTATTAAGTCGTTTTCATTTCACTGTATTTGTTATTCTATATCCTAAATAGTTTACGACCACACCCAAGTTAGACAATAAAATAACTTGGTGTTTTACTTTCGATAGCTCGTGGTTGAGCTGCTATGGGAAAAGAGAGCTCGCAAGTAAGGGAAGGGGAAGAGGATCGTGCTTACACCAACCTGCGTATCGGAAGTCTCCAGCTCCAGTTCACATTTCACATAGTCTCTTATTTCACATAATCTCAGTACATAATACTCAATAAAACCGACCTCAAAAGTTAGTGGAATTACATCTATTTGCCAAGTTTTATTGAAATCGGTTACCGGAAAGTGCGTGAAACGCGAATATTTTCTTCAAGTTTAATTGGGACCAACAGTGAGGTTCGCTCTTTCCAATAAAAAAAGAATCATCAAAATCGGTTCACAAATTTGCCGGAGTTATCGCGTAACATACGTACAAAACAAAACACAGTCGAATTGAGAACCTTCTCCGTCTTTTGAAGTGGGCTAAAAATTTTGCGGTTTGTAGCTTAAAGTTAGAGGCGCGGGTCACTAAGGTATATATAAATTGCGGAAAGGATGAGTATAAGATTTTCAGTTCGAACGTAGTTGTGTTTTTTTTTTTTTCGTCATTATGTTTTTATATGACTTTGGCGAAGCACGATTAGGAAGGAAATGCGCACTTAGAAATAAACTCATGTAATGAAGGGAAAGACGATAAATAGGCTTTACCATAACTCAAAGATAGCGCAAAGAAAATGAAATCAAACAATTACTGATTACAGTTTGATTTTACTTGAGCGGTGCTTATAGTTTTTTAATTTTAAAATTTAGACGTATATATCGTCGAGGACAGTGCAATTACGCGTAACTAACATCGGATTATCAGTTTCCACTTCGGTAATTTAGTGGACAAATCAAATCCGCGTAAATGTCGTGGCAACCAAATTAGCGTGATTTAAGAGAATTTATTGTTACCAGTTTGTAGACGACATACATTGGTTCAGTGCAGATACGTGCCTGTTACCAATGGTACGCGCATTTGCACTATCCCCGACGATATATCTTTTACTTAGAATTTTTAACTGAAAAAATAAACTTTTCAGCTAATGAAATGTAACTTTCAACTCAAGAGCCCTGGCAACACTGATACATTTACTTATCAGCACGCTTGATGTTGAAACGCACTCTTATTATATTGTGATGATAATTCGTGGGGTCCAATCTTACAATGTGTCACAAATAAATTTAATGTGAGATTGAATGCTTTGTATCTTACTGCTTATGATGAAAATAAGGAACGAATAAGTACCTGTATAACGAGCGAACATTACCTATTACGTACGTAACAAAAAGTTTATTAAAGATAATCAATAAAATTCGCCGCGACTGATCAATTTATGTTTGATGCGCAAAAAAATTGTTATGGAATACTTCGCGTAGAAGGTATTTTTTGCATGGAAGCATGACTAGCATTTTTTTTTAAGTAATTTAAGTCAACATTAATACAATTAGATATGTCGGTATTGCATAAGTAAGTTATTGTGCAAGTGTATTAACAATGGTCGAGCACAATTGTCGTTTTTATTATATTTATTATTACAGATACAGAATTATCTCTGTGCTTCTCAATGCAATCTTCTTCGCTTTAACAAAATTTTAATTTTAATTACCTCCTTTGTTTATACAGTCCTTCACAACGATATTGCACAATAAGTGTTAACGTTGCGGCATTGAATTATTTGTAATAACAAATTTTAATATTCATTTAAAATGAATTCAGAAGTAGGTAGGTTATGAAAAATAAAAACTAAATCTGTAACTAGTATAAATGTATGTTAAAAGGCACGTTTTCAAACAGCTTTCAATAAGAATAATAATAAAGAATAACCGATTTTCGTGGGTTAGGGTTTCGGGTTCTTTACAAGTAATGGCTGATTGACTGACTGAGTTCACCGAGTCAGCCGTGACCATGGAACTCGTAAAAAACCCGATATGGTGGTTTGTTTGAAAAAACAAATATACGCGATTTTAGACCCGAAAAAGTAGTTTCATTTCCAAGAATTAATAATACAAGTACTTCTGAAATTTCAAAAAATATCTGGTACTTCCATAAATGACCGGTTAGTATGGAAATCCCTGAATCGTCTCAGGTCACAAATTGGCCGATTATAGACAACATGATAAAATGGGGATATATTAATCCGATTCAAAATCATTGTGCTAGGGGGGACCCTCCACACAAAGTATAATAACTTGCTCTCATGCCCATTGTGTCTGCAGCTGCACCCACGAAGACCTGCTAAAGGCAACAAAAGTGGCTGCTTACTGGGCCCAAAGAAATATAACACAGGATTTCTACTGCTTTTTGACATTGACTCGACAATAAGAAGAAGATAAACTACCTGCCTATTTGATCAAAATCCAAGATATCAAAGGGATTGGTTAGGACTCGTTCTTCAATTACTTACTTCAATTATTATCAGATAATTTGTTGAGATTTAAATATCTCATTATCTATTCGTTATAAGAAAGTTGTAAAGATGACGAGTAAGCGGGTCTTATAGCACAATAATTATCGCGTTTAGTGCCCAGGAGGGATTCATTCCTGAGCTTGATTTACAAAAGGGCTTACTGTGAATCACGTAATAATTTTCAACCGAATTAAAATGAAAACAAAATTTGTTTTCGTTGTTTCTGTCACTGTTTTAATTTCGACCTACGTTTTTGTTTCAGATATCATTTATAGTTACAATACAACAGAAATACAAAAATTCTTTATTGTACACTAAAAAAGGAAACAAATACAACACAATTAAATTAAAAATAGCGGTGGCACAGAAAGATTTTTTTATGACACCAAGTAACAGGTTGAACAAGTTGAACGCTTGGTGGTAAGAGACACGCCTGTCCATCAGTGTCACACATGGCTTTAGATCGCAAAACTTTGAGCCATCACTGCGACATAAATTGATAAGTGCCATGTGACTGTAATTTCATCAACACCTTACCCTTCAAAACCGGAACGCAATAATGCTGACATTACTGCTTGGCGGCAGAAATAAGTACGGTGGCAGTACTTCACTCGACGAACTGTTTAACGAGGAGCTCGACTAATTTGTTTAATTTTTTATTTACGATTGATGATTATCCCACTCAAAAGTTGACAACTGATCATAGACTTCGAAGGCACCTCGTCAAGCAACACAGTTAAAGTACTTATAGTTTCTTTTTTCTAATTTTAAAAACAATTCTGATTCAATTTAATCGAAAGATATTCATGTCGTGATATTTGTTATGCACGATCTTTGGCTTGACCTTTAGGTCTGCCAGGAGTCTTGGCTAGATAGACTTGCTTGCCAACTAACATTTAAATAGCGTTTGCTGTAGAAATGTTGTTTGTTTTGTGATTTATTCAAGTTAACAGTGATTTTACAGCATTTGTAAAATACTAATAAGTACAAAAACTAGTTCCCAAAAATTACGATTTGCTTGCTTGTTTATAGTTAGACTTCAAACTAATTTAGTCATTGTGCTGTGAAAATAATAACCAGTACAATGACACGTTGAGTTTTGTTAATAATGATACGTAGTTCAATATAAAAAAGTTTTCTAAATACGACTAATGAAAATGGCAAAATCAATAACGATGCCTTACTTGTACCTTACCTTGTACTTGTATCTTATAAAGAGTGATTATTCAGGAGATGGCAGATATTTCTGCTATTTATTTTAAATTTCTTATCAAGGGTTGTTTATTTGGATGCATTACCTTTAAGAATAGGCAAAAGCTGGTGCGCAAATATGAAGGAAATGTGATGTGAAATCTGCCTGTAAAGTTTGAATATACAATTTTTTTTTGCATTTCAGTAACTTCGTCCTTTAAGATACGAGTTTGAGAACGTAAGGCGACGATAAGTCATTTACTCGTACTACGTTAAATGTAAGTGATACATAATTATTCTCAAAATTGTATATAAAATTTTAAACATAGTTTTAAGTACAAATAATCCTGGACTTATACATCAAGTTAGTATGAATATGGAATGAACAAGTAAATAGCTTATACCACTTATTGGACCAAAGAACTGTAGCTAGGTAAAAAAAAACATGCGACAGGTAAAAAAAAGATGGCAGAAGACTAGTAATAACTCCTCGTTTTAAACTGATTATAACTAGTTTTCATTTCCCATCAGCATCCATTGTGTGTAAATTTTTAGTACCAAGTCAGTCTTTCAAGTCTAGCATTCTAGATTGTCAGTTACGACATTATTTCCTATTTCTAGGTAACAAAGCTTGTAGCATAGTGCGTCATAAAAAATATGACACGTAAATGTGAGAGGTCAAACTTACTTGACGGTACTTACGGTCAAAATTGCATGATGATAATAAATCGTTTTATAATAATACTGTTATTTTATTTTAAAAGTGTTGGCACCAAAACTACGAGCTTAGAGGATATGTCTAATATGTATAAATAAGCATAAATATAGGCTTACCTTTGTTGTCTCCGTGCAGGGTTTTAACGGAGGGTGCGAGTGCGAAGGGCGCCTTAGGAACGATAGCCGCACCTTTATTCTTTTCGAATAACGCTTTACGTTCCCTCAAAGACATTTCAGCTGGGTCCTTAGCTTTAGGACTCCCTGCTTCAAACATAGCAGCCTTGGATAGCACGGAGTTCCTATCAACGTTCCCGTTTAATTTTGGCGCTAATCGCTTCACGACGGGAGATGCTTTGTCACATTTGTCAGTCTTGTCATCAGCCGGCTTTGTTTGTTTACAATCCGTTGCGTCATTGGCGTTCTCCTCTTGCTGAATTTGTACCACATTGTTTTCTTTGTCTTTATCACTGTCACAGTCTTCTGTATCGATTTTTCTTTGCGGCGGTGTAGGCGCCTTGTACTTCTTGATTGACGGTTTTTTCGTAACCGCCGGTGGTGAAGCGACTATAGTCGCCATATTGGGGGCTGCCGTAGCACTGGGGGTTGTCGATGCGGGCTTCGGCTCCTGTCGGCCGCGATCGGGTATCGTCGTAGTGAAATCGTACACGAGACGCGATTGGCCGGCAGAGACGCGCCGGTAGCCCGCGCCTTCCTACGATTGGACAACGGTGGTGCTAGTTGCGGGGTGAGCACGTGCGTGCATTTCGTATTGACTTTAACTTTAGGCGTAAAGTAGGTTAGTTGGCGCTAAAAGGGTTTTCGGCAAAGTTGCATCATGTGTGGATACGAAACGTCCATGACGACGTAAGAATAATTAGTATTATTTAGAACTAAAATAGCGAGGGTATTGTTTAAAATCGCAAGTAGAATTCAACAGAGTTAATGGATAGAGCAATGGTGTGCTCGTCGAGTCCGTTATATTGCGAGCGCGCCGCGATGCGGGGTGCGCGTAAGACGGCTTGTAAACAACTGACGGCATAGCCGACCTGACAGACGGCTGTCGGCCGGGACTGCCGGCCACAGACCACACGTGCGGAAACAGGAATACTATCCCACTAATTTCATTAATACTATAGTTTAGATGTTTGGTACTCAATCATTCAATACAGGTTTAAGAATGGGCAATTTCTGTACACATTTTAATGAAATTTGCGTACTAATTACATTGTAATTTATTAACATCTTGAACCTAAGTCTTAGGAACCTAACTTAAGTTTCTAGTTGTTAGTACTAAATCGATTGATCTAGAAGAACTTTTTTCTCCTTGTTTTCCCACGAACATTCAAAATTGCCTGTATTTCCATTCATCTGTTCCGGTTTCTAAGCCTCGTTAGTGTATAAAAAAAGGTCAAATTATGTCTTTTGCCTGCTTTAAAAAATAAGTGTTACAGGTGCATTCGTAGTCCTAAGCAGTGTTTATAAATCGGCTTCGTAAATTATCGGGAAACACCTTCATTATAGCTACCTAATACATAATTATACTGGCACAAATAAATGCAGGAAATCATTATCACATTTTTTTTGTACAGAGCATAATAAACGACATCCTTTACAATATATTTCGGCGCACAAAAAGGCAGTTGTTATATTGTCGATAAGATTATAATTTGGTAATATTAAAAGTACATTCTCAGCTCAAATTTATAATTTAATTATTATTAATATTTCAAAGTCCACGACATTGGTGCAACTAGTTTAAGAGACAGAGGCATCAATTGTTAGCTACCCTGTTCCACAATTGAACAGTGTCATATTTTGTCTGTAATTTGTGGAAATAAGGAAATTATTTCTGCCCTCCTAATTATAATTAACGTAAGGCTCAATTTATATTGCGGCGAAACGGAATGGAAGCGAATTTGTGTAACGTGATACTGTAGATATTGATGGGTCCTAAGTATAAGATTGAAAGTTTGCTCGAGATTTAGCGAGAATTCTCTGGAACATTTTGGCTCGTATCTAGTACGTTTCATATTTGACCATAAAGTTAATTATGCTATGTACAATATCGTTACAATAATTCGCTTCCACTCCGTTCAGCCGCAATATAATTTGAGCCTCATCGACATTTTTAGCGAAATTGAGTTTTAAAAATATCTATAAAAAGCGAATCGAGATCTACCATCCCACAAGCGGTGTTTGTTATTTGTTATTTAGTTTCAGTTGTATTGTTAAGCACAATCAGCGTAACTGACATTTTTCAAAGTAAAAGAAACTTTTAGGTGCCAATATCTCGAAAGGTACTAAAGTATTTCCTCGGATCTAAATCGGGCAATTGGAATTTAAAATGTTTAACTTTTGTAATAATAGTGGAAAACAAGATGGTTTGCATTGATATTAGACAACTGGTTGATGACTTTACCATTTGGCACTTGTAAAGGGCCTGAAACGATGTTTTGTTTGAAAAAAAAAAACAAACATACGCGATGTGGATCCGAAAAAATAGTTCTATTTCCAATGTGTAACATTCGCGACAACCTAAGCACTCTATAAACAAAATATTACTAGTATAAAATCGCACATGAAACCGAATACTGTGGTAACTCAAAAATGATGGAATTGAGAAAACACGTTTTGAAAGTTCAAAAAACTACCCAATAATAATATATAATAATAATAATAACGCACACACTCAACATAGCCCCACACTAGGGAAACCCTGTGTCGCGGGTGCCATGGACACACACATAGACAACCACAAATTACACCCAAACTCACGAGAGAAATATATGTAGGCCATACAAATATTTCTCCCGGCCCGGGAATCGAACCCGGGGACCTCTGCGTGGCAGTCCGGTATGGTAACCGGTCGGCCACGGAGGCAGTTGCAATGAGAGCAATGAGACCAATATAATTCTTGTTATAAGTGGATAACTAATTATCATGTATAAATAAAAATAATCCCATAATTCGCAATAAAATTAATTCAGTATTTTGTTTTCATTTTCAAATCGTATTATCTCAATTCTATAATTTTCGAGTTACGACAGTGTTCGGTTTAATGTGCGAAATATTTAAAGAATAAGCTTGCTTATTTTAGGTTTCTCGGTTCTGAACCGTGTTCGGCACAAGGAATTTTGTTTCTGAACGTATCAGCATAACTATCGTAATTTTAAAGTACCTGGAACATTTTAACTCGAAATTTAATTCGCCGTAACCTCAAAAGCGTCTTCTAAACTCTGTGATGCCAATCATGTAATGATAACTTTTGTGAATGGTTTAACAAAGCTTTTATATCATAAGCGGTTTATGCTTCAAGTCAAAGCAAAACAAACATAAGCCACAGAACAAATAGGAAAACGAAAGTTGTTCAAAAATTAAACAATAAGAATAAACCATGTGGACAGGTTAGGGACACGAACTACATTGCGTGACCAATGTACACCCTGCAACGCGTGTGTGTTTTATGCTTTAGGATTTTTAGGAAGTACCATGATGAAGCAAGGTTTTATATCGCAAATAAAAGTAAATACTTTCGTAACTCACAAATTGATGGAATTGAGAAAACACGATTTAAAAGTAAAAAAATATATCAGAATGTATCTTATCATTTATACTAAATATCATTTAGTTATCTACTTATAAACGAGAATATAAATTTATTAGTTTTATTGAGTAGTTTTTTGAACTTTCAAAACGTGTTTTCTCTATTCCACAATTTTGAGTTACGACAGTGTTTGGTTTTACATGCGCTATTATTCTGATAAAATCAAATAGGTACAAAAAACCTTGTATTATACTTTTATGCAAAACGTGGTGTTTAGAATATTACTAAGTGTGAAGGGACTCGGTCTAATTTGTCGTGATGATTCGATGTTACGTTCGGCTTAAACGAAACTGAAATGAAATGAAACACATTTAGGTGAGTCACCGGAGGAGAAGCGCGGGTGAAACTGTTTTCATAGATTAAATGGTTTGGGTATTTACTATTAAATATAGTTTCATAAAAAATGTCCGATACACCTAAGGATATTGTCTAAAGAATGTGCTAATTAGTTACACAATACGATGTATTTTACTCAATCACATAAAATCTCGAAAACAGGCTAAAATAAAAAACTAAAACGAATTATTTAAGAACTAAATTTGTAACTTTACACATAATTTTAATATGGAGATATTTCTCTTTAAATTCTACAGAGGAACTGCTAAAATTTGATTTCCAATTGAAGCCCTATAGTTACTAAATTTACATTTATCCCAAAACTAGAAAATTAGTTAGCGGCTTTCGTCTGTTTTATTTTATTCATATTAATTTTAAGCGCGCAGTTTGCGGGACGCGTCTGGCGGCCCCTCACACCTCACCTTCTAAAATCAAGACTTGTTTTCAAATACCACGCCTTAAATTACAATTTGAATTAAAATCAAATAGATTATCCATAAAAAATACAGTAAAAATCGGTTGAAATCTATGAAATTACTATTTCTATATAACATCATAAAAACATTTTTTTTCGTCAAATATATTTTGACTATTTCAGTGGTGTTGCATGCGGAGGTCCCGGATTAGATTCACGGTATAATATATTCGTAGCAATGAACTTTTTGATTGGTTCTGGTCGGAGAGTTGTGGATTCCCTCCACAGCGAGTTCCAATTTGAGACATTCACAATTAACTTCATGTCGAAAAACTTCTCTTCGTAACGTCTTCTGGAGAATTCTCGTGCAGTTTCGGGAATCTCGATATAGTAACTAGTTTGTGCGTTACACAATTGACATGAAGTACATTATGCTATGTACAATTTTGTTACTAAAAAATTAGCTTACATTCAGTTTCGCAGCAATGCAATTGAACCCTATGCAGCGAAATAGTCGGTGTATAGACAAATGAGCTCTTATTACAGAATAAGAGTATCAGGATTGTATTATACATAGGTTTGCATATATTATATTACATCAAAAACACATACATCGCTTAAAATAATACAATAATTCAAAAATAAACCAATACGCCCAAATGACTCATGAATCGTATTTGTCAATACGAAAACTGCTTGTAAATGTATGCTGTAACGTGTAAAACCTGTGTGTACATTTGTACAGCAATTACACAACGCTTTCCGAAGTTTGAAACATGAGGTGATAGAGCCAGTAAAACATCTGGTGAATGGGCCTTATGTTTATTTTTTTGATATTCATACCAAATGTGTCGATTATTAGTAGAAATATTAATTTATATATTTTTGTTACATTCAAATTCTTATCTTGCTAATACATAAATCTAGTTGCCTTATACTCCACATACTAAAAAAATAAATAAACACGTTTTATGTATGGTGGGTGGGTGAGAAATACATCCTGACGTGCAAATTGGCACATTCTTTAGTCAATATCCTTAGGTGTATCGTATATGGGAATCGGCTAGACGCGACAGTCGTCCAAAGATAAATAAAACGTGACGACATAATGGGAACGCGCCCCAAATGAAAGCGTAACGCTTCTTGGCCACAAGTTTACCTGGACCACTAATGTTGCCACCGAAATGAGATAGACAAAACTAACTTGAAAATTACCCAAATACAACATTGCAGTTGCATCGTGTCGTTGACAAACTTTCAGCTCTACCACAATACGAAGAAGATCAAAAATGAGTTTTTCACCTAATTACTCGTAAAATGAATGATGTTAATAGTAGCCTGAGTTGCAAGTCAAGTT